TCACCAGTTCTTGCTATTGTGGGTTGCTAAGTCTGACTGTTGTTTTCTTTTCTAAACAGGGCTGCCACTACTGCTCACATTTTCATTCCATTTACCAGACTATCTCTATCATAACGGGCTCAGTATCAGCCTGGCCCTCCCCTCTCCTGCCATGCAGAATCATCTTTCTCGAGGCTCTCTAGGACAGTGACCAGATTTTTTTAAATCTCCAGCCCAGTAGTCTTCCATGGTCTGAAATTTCTTGAATCTAAAATCCTGGCAACTCTGTTGGGATGGAGTACAAACACATAAAATTCACCCAACCCAAAGTCAATACATTCTGCCCAAACTTAATACCACAAACGCTGTGTTCTCTACTCAGCAGACAAGACGGGAGTCGTCCAACCAGATGGAGAGTGGGAATTGGGTCCCGCTCAGCTTACACTGCATCTCCATAGGACTCACATATGTGAATCCGGGTTATTTTTGTTATTCACTATTGATATTAATGTTTATAGTAGAAATTTATAAAAGAACACTCAAAATATTGATGCAATAGGTAGAATGTCATATTAATATTTTGAAAGCTATCAAAGCCAACAGGATGAATGTCAGATTGTTAAATCACTGGCAATAAGCTAACTGTTGTGGGAATATCCATGGAAATCACTGGTCAGTTGCCTAAGATCCTAGAGAAGCTCACCATAGCTCCTTGGGCTCAGTAAATGTGCTGTATGTCGGGGACCATGGGGACGTCAGAGGTGGAAATCAGGATATCTGCACTTGTAAAGAGTTCATTCTTGGTTTGCAGCCGCGAGCTGCTCTTCCCTTGGAGAAGCCCTGCAAGTTGTCACTGCTAAGCATCCTGCACAGCCCCATGTCCCCGTGAACTCAGATGTCCTGTTGGCAACTGTGACTAAGAATCTATGCAGAAAACTTACTGATCAATATATGACCTAGTTCACAATTCTATTTTATTTATATACAAAGGAATTTTTGTATAATGGTCTCACATATCAAATTTTCCAAGAATTTAACAGCATAAATCCTGATAGAAGGTTGGACTTCGTTTTGGTTAAAACTCTAGGAATATGTGCTGACCATGTGAGAAAGTTCCAGCACCCAAGCCAGCCCTGGCCACACTTTCAAGTCACTGGGGAGACACCTGCTCCCCGTCTTCCATCCCAGCTGTCATCCGTGCTGACTATTCTAGACAAAAATGCTAGCATGCCATGATTTCTTTATGTCTTCTAGTGAAGCTTATTTTATTATAAATTACTTTCTTTTTATTACTATTTTATAGCACAGTTATGCTGGTAGAGTGATTTTATAAAAATTATATGCATAGGTAAAATATATATATATATATATATATATACTCTTGAATGTCATTTCAGGAGACAAAGAGGTTGTTATAAAGTACAGGGCAAAGTCTGATATAATGGAGAACTACTGACCTCTGGGGTAAAACATACAAATACAAAGTAATCTGGGCATCTCTGCTTGTAGTAACATAAAGGACAGCCAAGCCACAAGTAACACACATATGGACAGTCACTAAGACTGCTCTTTTTCTGTGGTATATATTTCCTAGTCCTTGTTTTTTTTCCCCTTTTCTGCATGAGAACAACTCAGCCTAAGGAAAAGGAAATGCTACTGGTCAATAAGACACGAAAGAGAAGAACATTTTCACAGAAAGTGTCACACACGAGGAGTCCACAGGTAGGACGCCTACAGCAGCGGAGAGCAAAACCAGAAGGCAAGTTAGTGGCTGGAGGGCCAGGATACCCGCGTGTGCGCTCAGGGCCCCGAGAGTAAACAGTGCCTTTCCGGTCTTGCTGGACGTGACTGGGATAAAATGCCTGGTACAGAATGTTTTCTTTCTCCACCAATGGTGTTTGACAACTGTGATTGACATTAGGGACTGCCCTGGAGGTTGCTAGGTGACAGAGGCCAAGGCAGTTGCTATGGGCAGGGATTAGAGCAATTCTGGGCTGAGTTTAGGACAGATTATACTATAAACTTCAGAGTATTCATTTTGTTTAAAAAAATTTTTTTTATGGAGGTCAGGGATTTAGCTCTGTGGTATAACTGCTTGCCTGGCAAGCACAAGGTCGTGAATTGGATCCCTGGTACAAAAAACAAAACAAAACCCAGGTAAATACATAGAGGGACCACTGGGGGAGTGGGGGTGACACCAAAATATACAAAACAGGGTCAAAAGCCACAGGGGTATTATCCCAAAGGAAGACAGACAGATCTGGCAGTTGTCCTGAGGCAGAAACATCCATTTCTCCAGCCTTCTAGCCTTACACCCCAATTCCCAGGATCACAGAGCTTCTTCAAAGTTTAGCTTATAGAAGTTCAAGGAGTAGTTGGGCACTGCATCATGGGACATGCTGGCACAGCATCATGGGACATTTAGGCACTATACCATGGGACATTAGGGCATTGCATCATGGGATATTTTAACCACAGGTTAAAACCAGGGCCAGGTCAGAGAGTTCCCAGAGAAACAGGTAATTCATGGGCAACTGTGACAGAAAACACTGTGCTGTGACTGTCTTGCTTTGCAGAGAAGCTCCCTACTTAGTATGCCCCAGAACATTCTAGAAAGCCTGTGCCTGCGGCATGCATCCTAATGATGACCTTTCTCTGCTTGCCTACCAGTGTATCCTGTTCTTGGCAAAAACAATCTAGAACTCTACTTTGTCATATAATAGTTCCTTCTTGGATTCAGGATGCCTGGACTTTCTCACCAGCATTGAACCATCTTTCCTCATCTCTCCCTCATGTAAGTACCATCGGTTCTCACATGTTACGTGAGTCGCTGGGCTCGAGATTGTCCTTAGGCGTTATCTTGCATGTCTGTTTATCAACATGGCAAGCTAAAAACTCCAGGGAAGAGTGACAAGAGCTGCCCTTCCTCAGGTAATCAGGTGCTGGGGTTTGCATTTTGGTCCAGGTCATAACCCCTGCTCGAGGACCTTACAAGTTCCTAGAGGGCTGCATCCTTTGTATTTCCAAGTCACCCAGCAACCTCCTCTTCTGTAACTCTAACTATATATTTGTCTTCCTGTCCAGTACTTGCTTCAACCAGGATGGGAGCTTCCCAAGGAAGGGATGGTGCGTCTCGCTTTTCAACTGTCCCCGAGGCCTATGGCCTGTCGGGTGCAAAACTGCAAACATCTACAACTCTTCAGCTCCTAGAGTTGTACTTTGGTGTTTACCGAAGAGCATTCAGACTCTTTATGGGTAAATACCAGGTGTCCTTTTCCAATCATTTACAAAATAATCTCAGAAGCAAGAGGAAAGGAAAACAAAATCCATCTATTTAAAATATTTACCATGCTTAAGATTCACACAAGGTTTTCTGCTAATGTTTCTGCTAGTGTGTTTTTGAACATGTATCTTTTCACTATACACATCATAGAGTGTGTATGTTTATTATCAGGAACATATTTACTTGTTTATTATCAGGAACATATACTATTTAATGGGAATCTTGAAAATTAAGTCACTGGTTTTATATTTATCATTAATTAAGCCTTTAAAAACACAAAGGGTTAGGAAGATTACACATGTCCTCATATTAAACAAACCCCTACTAGTAACAGAGTTTATCTGTGCTACCCAAACCTGGAATGATTAAGTTAGATGTCTACACATTGGAATACTACACAGTATTGAAAAAGGACAAACTAGTGTACAACCAACATGTGAGCTGAATCTCACAGCAGAACTTTGTGTGGAAAGAGTCAAATGCCCAAAGTCCTCAGGCCCAGGTATACAAAGTTCAAGTACAAGCTGAACAAATTTGTGGTGTTTAACTCATGGATTGTTCTTGCCACAGACATAGCAATGATAAGAAAGAAGCACAGAAGATTTTTGGGTACTGATAATGTATTCCTTGATCTGAGAGTTCGCTTGCAGGGGCTCAAGCTGAGACATTTCATTGGGCACTTAAGACTTAACACAAGTCTGGGTCGTATTTTTATAACGGGTCTCTTTTTAAAAAGTTTCCCCTACTACACATATTTGTGGATGTGCATTGTGGCCATCCCTAGCACGCTGAGAGGTAGACCCCCCTCCAGCTTTTCCGGCCTGAGTCTGCCGTTTATGTATTTATGTTTATGCATCCCAGGAACCGGCAGAAGACGACCGCGCCAGCGCTTCACTTTGAGGGTTAGAGGTTGGAATTCAGTTATTCCAACATCTAAACACCGACTGTGGTTTCAGTAAGGAGTTTCCCGGCCGGGCAGAACTGTCTGATTTAAAACTCTTGCACATTCTGTTGACATGAAGAAAATACGTCATATGTCACAGAACACTACACAAATCTTGACTACTCACCAAACGGCATTTAAGAAACAGTTTTTAGTTTGTAGTCCTGTTTACATAACTCAAACATTTTCTCAAGCATACGTAACCGTCTCCCATCAGTATTTCCCCCCATGTATTAAGTTGAGAACTGTCACCATCTGATTTAATAACAAAACGTTATTAAAATACACAGTCGCAGTTAGAAAGTTGTGTGTGTGTTTGCAAGCGAGAGGGAGAAAGATCTTTTTCTCTAGTACAAAGTCTTCAAAACTGCCCAGAACTCTTGTACACACGACCCTGAAGATGTACCATGTCAAGCTCACTGCACCCAGATTGCTTTCTATCTAAGAAAACTGTTAAACACCTCTCCTAACCTGTTCTAGGGGCTGCTTCCTTGCTAATAATGAGAAAGCAACAACAGAAAAAAATCCAAATTCATTAAGCAAAAGCTACCGTGACCTACAGCGAGTGTGAACAGTCAGAGTTGAATAAAGTCCCTGAGAATGTAGAAATCATCAGAGCACTAAGGGCATCTTTCCTCCTCCAAGTGAGCTTCAGCTCAGCAAGGTAAAGTCCCAGCCAAGCGCGCAGCGCGCGGCTAGGAAGGGGTCCCCGGTTCCGGCGGGACCCCAGCGCCTCCCGGGTCCCGTCCAGGTGGCCTGGCCGGGCAGCACAGGAGCGGACAGGCCCAGACTTACCAGCAGCGCGCAGCACAGAGCCCGGTTCATGCTGGCGGCGGTGGAGGCGGCGGGAGCGAGGTGCGTGCGCCTCTGCAGCCCGCGCGCCTGACCTTTTATACAGCGTCCGCCAACAGGAAGTCTCGCCTGGCTTTGATCCGTCATTTTTCTCCCCAAACCTCGCACCTTTCCTTTTTAGGAACCTGGGAGGGAGCTCGGGGTTAACGCTTTCGGAGCCGGGGCTGGACGGTGCCCCCGGGGGTGGGGCGTGCGCGCCGGGGCGGGGACGTGGGGCGCTGCAGGAGGGAAAGAAAAGCACCGCTGGGCTGGCGGACAAGGCAGCGCCGTCTCCGCGCCCGGCGAGAGGTTTCCAGCCTCTTCCCGCCAGCCCGGCCTCCTGGCCGCCCGCTGGGGCAGGAGGTGCGCTCGCCTCCCCCGGGGAGCCACCCCCACCCCGCCGAGACCGGGGCGCAGCCGGAGCACCGCGGGCACCCCGGGAAAGCCGCGAGCTCCTGCCTGCGCCTCCCCGCCTGGCCCCCTCTGTGGGCGCTCACTGCCCCAGCCCCGCGCCCTCTGCAAATAATCCTCGGGGTTGCACAAACCGCCAGAGGAGGAACTTTACTAACTCGTGCCCCACCGGCTGCTTTTCTCTGTGCGCTTGTTGTCCGGGGTCCTCGGAGCTAGAAAGAACCAGCCCAGGGCCAAAAACGCCCTGCCTGCTGCGAGGAAAAACCTTGCGAGTCATTTATTTTCTCCAACTCTGTTATCAGGAAAGGGCAGTTGGTACCCCGGCGGCCCACGCCCAGCGAGCTTCGAGGGGCGCCCTCAAAAGCCGGCCCACGGCTGGCTCCCAGCTGTTGTCAGAGGTTAAGTGCTGTGCAGGAAGGGTACTTGGCGCCCCGTGCACCCCATCCGCTGCTTGTCTGGAAGCTGAGACTGATCACTTCTAAATTGAACTCGGTTTGGAAGTTTTGCGTGCAGTTCACCGGTTGGAACTTTCCAGTTGTTACCCAAACTCTCTGTTTACATGTGGCTGAAAAAAACCCCCTGCCCAGCCTGCGTTCCCACTGGGGGCAAGTGTTCCCTGCTAGGTCTCCGGAGAAGGGCAAACGTGAATTCCGCTTTCACCAGCCTTCGGAGGGAGGAGGGGCAAGTCAGGAGAGAGGCAAGTTTTGCCAGTAGGGTTAGGAGCATGGGTCCCTCAGAAGGACATCTTGCTCCCTGGAGTTCCAGGTGGATCCAAGGATCAAACCGGAGATTCTTAGAATAAACGGCAACTGGAAAGCACAATGAACTCATCCTTTGTGAGTTCTGGGAGACAGGGGCCTGCTCAGCACCCTCTCCAGGCCTGGACCCAGCGGCCTGCAGACGTCCTAGGTGGACTAGTGGACACGTAGCCCAGTGAGTAAGGATAAAATTGTGGGGCTCCCCACCGACCCCTTGTACTCTAAGCTTTGGTTTTGAAGTCTGTAACCTGACAGAGTAACACTTGCCTGCTGAGAGTCTGGGAAATCCAATTTTACTACTAAAGCCTTATATAAATGGCATTATTTCTGTTACAGTAATGTTTTTCTAAGATATCATTGAAGACATTTTTCTGCAAACACAGCAGGTCGTCAGTATGCAGTCGTTAAACTTGGAGGAAACTGGCCAAGAGTTAAGTCCTGCCATGTTAACTCTGGAAAAGTCCATGTTTCTCTAAGCCCCGGTTTCCTCCTTCATCAGAGGAAAATAAAACTCACATTGCAGAGGAAAGAAGCAACTAGAAACTTAAAAAAGGCAAGTACAAATGACCACAATCACTTGTGGGCATGCAATCAAATGACGGATGCGCAGTGCCTTGGCCCGGTGCCCTTGAGAAACACTTGTTAAGATCCAGTTGCTGGTTCTCAAGGAGAGACACAGTCTGGCCTTGGGCTCAAGGAATCCTGTGAACTCTAGTTCTAGTTCTTTCTAGCGCTGTGGCCTCAAGGTGACTCACCTATTCCTATCACCATCCAGTTTCTTTTGCTTTGTATGAAGGATAAAATACTCTCCAGTCTACTGCCTGTGATCATTAAGGGTTGTAGGAATGTCAAAGGAGATTAAACATGCAAAGCTCTCACAATAGTGTCCGTGTGTGATGTTCATTAAGTGTTAGGTCTCACTATTGTATTATGTCATCTGAGATTCTTTGGGATACTTGTTTGAGCCTAAGGTAAACCTAGCTCCTCAGGGTGGGAACTCTTTCTCTGGCTCTCCCTGAACCTTCTAGATCAGCCTCTGGCTTCTGGTAACTATGCCCAGAATCATGGCGTGGTGGCAGTGGCTGGGCAAGGTGGTGGTAATTAGCTGAAATCTGGAGACTGACTGGGGAAGCAACAGAGAAGGCTGCTCAGACCCTGACCACGGACGGACCTTTCGTTAGTCACTCGCTGGCAGGGCTGTGACAGACACCATGAGTTATTAGTGAACTCATTTGTTATCTTCCTGGCCCAACCTGGCCAATCCTTCTGGGTGTTCCCAGCTGATCTGTGTCTATGGCAGCAGGCCTTGGGCACCGAAGTTCATCTCCAGATTTAATTGAAACGAACCTGGGGATCCCTCACTGGACCCAAGGGGGACATCTGAACAGTGACCTGGAAGACTCCATGCATCTTCCTGTGACAGAGGTCCCTCCCAGGCAGAGACCATCAGTAACATCAAGGAGAGAATTCCATAAGTGTAACGTTTCTTTCTGGGCACCACATACGAGTGATGCTAGCTTTCTGGGGAGTCTTCATCTGGTATCCCTCATCTTCTCTTCCTCGGACACTTCTCATCATCCCTGATGACATACTGTGTGTCCCTTACCCCCTACACCAGCCCCTGCTACCATAGAGAGCTGGCCTCTGAATCCCGGCTCTCCCAGGAGAACATGCTTCATCATGAAGTGTCACAGCTCAGCCCCGATGCCGAAGGTTATTTGTAATCATCATCGTAATGGGAAGAGCTCAAGCTCAGACAGCAATTGATTTAGGTGATTTGGAGACAAAACGTGCTCTGAGATGACAAGGACTCTGAGGTGACTGATCAAGTGTCTAAAATCTGATGCTCAAGCTTTGTTGCCTGAAAATTGGAAATAAGTCATTCTGAGATGAGGTATATAGAGGGATATTACCTTGTAGAACCAGAACATGTTGTTTTGTTACTGCACTGTTGCCGAAAAGCAGCTTTCAATGAAGGAACAGAGGGAAAGAAAGTAAACTTTGTGCAGCTAGCTTACAGATCTTACTTTATTAATGCTTGCTTGCTTCTTCATGAACAAATGCAATTTTAACTGTATTAACATTCGATGCAATAATATTGTGAGTCTGCCTACGTTCCGAATTGCACATGGACTTGGTTTTGAAAGCATGGTGTGCATAGGAAGCAAGGTTGCCTGATGATGTACTTTCTCGATGGGGTTAGTCACCAGCTGCTTAAGGATCGCCCGGAACATGCGGGCAATGGAGCAGTAACTGCCGGCTACGGTTCCTTACTCAACAGTAATGAACTTGTTCATTAAAATAGTGCTTCCTTTGAAAATTGGTCTCATCGAACAATGTCACAGCTCTATAAACAGGGCTGTGTGTCCATGCAAGGAAGTTGCAAAAGGATACCATTTCTCTGTGTGACTTTACACCCCAGCTCTGAAAAACAAGTGTTCAGGTTTGGAGGAGAAGGTGAAGAATTGGGTTTGGAGAAGCTTTGGCTACGGAGGGCAGGTCAGGGGCTCAGGGGAGGAGGAAGCAGGTTGGGATCTCAGGGAGTGCAGGAGGGCAGTGTGCCTGGTCCAAGGAGAGCAGGGCACTGACTGGACACGGGGGAAGGCTGGACACAGAAGTGGGCAGAATGCAAAGTGGAATTGATTCTTGTCTTTCTCCCAAGAACTACAGGAAGCCCTGGGAAGTTTAAAGCAGTGTGTCTTAACTGGTTCAGGCTGCTGTACCAAAACATCACAGACTGAGCAGCTTACGCGTGATAGCAATTTATTTCTCACCCTTCTAAAAGCTGAGAGCACCACATAGGGGCCAACAGGGCTGGATCTGGTGAGAGCCTGGGTCACAGACTAGGGCCTTGTTCTTCCATCCTCCCAGGCAAAATGAGAGTTAGAGAACCCTCTGGGACTTAGTGCCTGTCATAAGGGCACTAATCCTATGAGTAAGGGCTCCATCCCTAGGACCTAATCAATTTTCCAATCCCTTTCCTCCTAATGCCATTACACTGGAGGTTAGTTTTCAATACGTGAATACAGTATGTGTGGGGGCCCCAACAAGTAGTCCCCAGCAGCAGAGTGTGCTCATTATAACTGCTCAGCATGTAGTTTTCTGGACTTCACCCTGCCAAACTCTCAAGGTCATACAGCCCAACTCATGTGTGCAAGAGGAACTCTCCTAAACTACAAATCACAGCAAAATCATTGTCATCTGTGGACCTGGAAGTTGGGAAACAAGGACCAATGATTCCAGCAGATTATAACAGAAACCCTGTTGTTCCCGGCACCTGGAGGAAGAGGCAGAGCCGTTCACTGATAAAACCTGTGGCCCTTTCTGTCAATCCTTCAGTCACTTCAACTGGAATTTCTTGAAACCTAGATACCCATCTAATGCCTACATAGTCCCTAGAAATTTCTTTCTTAATTAAATAGCAAACCATCTTCCAAATAAGCGCTCACCTGGAGGCTTCTGAACAAATAAATGTCTATATCAACAGAGTCTTAACAAACACAGCACACTCACTCTGGATTCCCCCTCAAAAATCTTCGGTTGAATTTGCTCAATTCAAAATATTCTCAGAGAAGTGTAGAGTGAATATATGCACTTCCAGCACACGGGGAGACTGAAGCAGGAGGATCGGAACTTGGAGTGCCATCTAGGGATCCCACCAACACTGTCTTAAGATAAAAAGTAAAAATGGCAAATGGACCTCAGAGGAAAGGTCCTAGGTTTAGTCCCCAGGACCATGAAGGTGCACACATACAATCTCAGCATCTCTAAATTGTCTGTGCAAGCATTTGTCCAACAGAGACACAAGGAATTGTTATAGAAAAACAACAAAATAAAAACCACTGCCACACTCTCTTGAGGTTATGGTCAAATGAGGGAGGAAGAGTCAGCAAACAAGCCTAGAAGTCAACTCTTCAGAGGGTAACGGAGCAGTGTTAGTGAGGCGACATCCAGGGAGCAGGTGGGTACAGTGGTGGGTGGCCAAGAGGGCGCTCCAGCCAGGTGTGCTCGGCAAGCACTTCTCAATGAATCAGCTTCTGATCAGCCAGTGGAGGCAACAGCAAGAGAAGCCAGAAGGCTCAGCTGAGCGAGCAATGTCAGTGAGACCCCATGTCA